ATCTACTGTTGGAAGATTATAGTCAAGAACCTATAAACACAAATTAAATAAGCAAAAGTGGAGGACGATAGTACTATTTTGGTTATAGAAGAAACACCATATCGGAAGGGCCCAGGATATTTGAGAGATACCACACTAGAAAGTGCGACTGATTCACCAGATATATCGCCGCCAAGAGCAACCCTTAAAGATCTAGAAAGGGCAATAATTGAAATTACTAGTAAAAAGGCGAACCTAGAATTTCAAAGAGAAAAGGGGTCAGAATTAGATAAAAGGAACCGGGAGTACAAAATACAGGAATACGAAAAGAAACTCCTTCAATACAGTGCACTAGTAGTAAAAGCAAAGGAGGACCAGATGAGTGGATTTATAGGAAATATAACAAGAACCCTTTCAGGGGGAGGTCAGAATATAAAAGAGGAGGACTCAGCAACTAAGCCAGTGGCCCAAATGGTGGAAACAAAGAAAGGAGATAAAACCGCAACAGGACCACCAATGCCGGACCCATCAGGAATAATAGGAGAAAAGGAAAAAAAGAAAGTAACCATAACGACCGATAGTAGCAGTGAGGGTACTAAAGTACAAAGCACCACAGGAAGCAACATTGGAGGGACCAGTACAACGACACCAGTAGTTGCTAAGACAGCTAGTAACCCACCAGAAGACCCATATTGTGTGGTTAAGGGATGTAAAAATAAAAAACAAAAGGGGGGGCAGTTCTGTAAGAGTTGCTTGGATAAGCAACTAGCAGCAAGACAATGCGTAACGGAAGGATGTACCAACCTAAAGATGGGAGGATCAAAATACTGTTCGAAATGTGCGTCCAAAAGGGATACGGTCTACTGTAAGGGTGGAGGATGTATAGGGCAGGCCATAATGGGGGAATTATATTGTGCCCAACATACATGCACAACCAATGGCTGTATGGAGCCAAGGGATGGAAATAGCCACTTGTGTAAAGATTGCCACCAGAGGGTGGAAGAGCAAAGAAAGAAAAAATTAAAGTGTGCAGTAGCCCACTGTAAGAACGTTAAGGAATTTGGTCGTATCTTGTGCAAAATATGCATAGGATCTTACTGTGAGCAGTGTGGAGCAGAAGAAAGCGTGAGCGACCGGTATTGCAAAAGGTGCAAATGTGGCATAGACGTATGTGAAAATAAAAGAATGGACTATAAAATCTTTTGTAAGGGATGTTGGGAGGACCCAAGTAGGTGCATCACAGAGGATTGCCCCAGAGCAAGGATGAGTGGAGGAAGTTATTGTGAACACTGCAGAAAAAGGGATTTAAGGATATGCCCAAGCAGGACCTGTACACAATGGAACCATGTAAATAGCAATCAGTGCCAAAGCTGTGGAATCCCAATAAAACAATGCAAGGAGGATGATTGTGAAAACCACATATTCGCGGATACAACATATTGCTGGACTTGTGAAATGAATTTACCTGACTGTGTAACCGAAGGGTGTCGAAACCTAGTCCAACATAGAGGAAATCGGTTCTGTGATGAGTGCTTTAATAGATTAAGCCCACCAACCACCCCAACACAAACACCCTACCAAACTTATCAACTAGGAGGAGGGACGGGACCCCAGTCAAGTTTAGTAGGAACTAGTACACAAAGGACAGGAAGAACTACCCCACCGCCACCCCAACAGCCATGGAGTGGGTGGAACCAACAGAGCACAACCAAACCAATTATCACGGTTGTTCGGTCACCAACCCCACCTCCAATTCAATCAGTTACCCAGCCAAGTACAATACCAACACCTACTACACAGCAGCAACCGCTACCACTGCCACCACCACAGCCAATAATTAGACAACCAACACCACCACCAGCACAACCACCAGTGCAACCACCAGTGACTACTCAGCAGCAGCCATTACCAGCACCGACACCACCAGTTACAGCGGCAAGCACCCAATCTACTCAACCACCACCATTACAACCACCAGTAATACCAGGAAACAGACCAGTAACATTCCCATTTGGGTGGGGATTAGGAGGAACACTACCTATATGGGCACCACAGCAACCAGTACCACCACCACCAGTACAACAACTTATACTAGGAAATACCCAACCACCACCACCACCGCCAGCGAATAGTGGCAATGGACTAGCAGGAAACAACAATAACCAGCCACCACCCCATACATTCGGAGGAGTGCCACCACTGCCACCAAATAATAATAATAATAATCCACCACCGCCATTAAATAATGGAGGCGGATCACCTTTCTTCCCACCACCACCACTTCCACCACCACCACACGGACCAGGTGGAGGAGGGGGTGCAGGGGGCCCTGGAGGACCAGGACCAGGTGGAGCAGGAGGTGGAGGAGGAGGAGGACCAGGGCCAGGCGGAGTTGGTGAAGGAGCAGGAGGAGGAGCAGGAGCTGGAGGAGCAGGGGGACCAGCACCACCAGCAGGAGACTTAGTTAATGCACTAATAAACTTAGCCAACAGAATGGATCGTCCGAACAGAGGAGGGGAACAAAGACTAGTGGAGCTGCCTAAATTTAATGGAGACATTGATGATCCACACCAATGGTGGAGCAGTTTTAATGAAGCATGCGAGGCAAATAACATTTCATATGAAAGAAGACTACAGATAGTACCAACATGTTTGAAAGGACAAGCAGAAGTCTGGAGGAAGTCACCAGGCTTGGTTATGTTAGCATGGGATGGATGGCCAGGATCATATGAGGAATCGGTCAGCTTCAGGAAACACTTTTTCGATTATTTCAGCACCACACAACACCAGCAAAGATGGATGAATGAATTGAGAAATCGACGAATGAAAGAAGGGGAAACTGTAGATGCCTATGCAGGAGCATTGACTGAATTATACATGAAAGCAGACCCACTAGGACAATACCCAGAAAGTGATAAACTACAAACATTCCTAAATGGGCTACCAAGCCAAATCAGAATGTTCACGGAATTAGCAGTACCAACAGGATTTAGAGAAGCATGGGAACAAGCAAGAAAGGTGGAAAACACCTTAAGGAAAGATAACCCCTTCAATAATGATAATCTACAACACATTAATACCTTGGTAGCTACCCAAGTAACCCAACTAGGACAAAACGTAAATGCATTAGCCATGGAAATCAGAGAAGGTCGAAAGTGTAACCTCTGCAACCAACCAGGACATGAAGCTGTAAATTGTAACCAGCGAACCATGAACCAATGGCCAAACAAAAGAGTTAATGACCAACAAAGAGAATGTTTCTACTGCAATAAAAAGGGACATTGGGCTAGGAATTGTCCAGAAAAGGGTAAAATAGTAAAATGTTACAATTGTGGCAAAGAAGGCCATATATCAAGACAATGTAAATGGCAACCAGCGGCCGTAGTACAAAGACCACAACCACAGCAACAAGGAAGGAATTATCAGCAAAGAGCAAATAATAACCAGCAACAACCAAGAAGAGTCCTACTGAACCAAGGGTATTATGAAGAACAACAAGAACCACAATATTATACAGAGTATCAACCACCAGTAGTGAACTACCAAAATCAACAACCTGTACAAAATTACCAACAATTTACATCACCCCAACAACAACAACCACAAACAGATGTATTTGGAGCTTTAACCACAGCTGTGCATCAGCTGACCTCTAAACTCGAAAATTTAAAAGAGTAAAAGCACCCCTGAAGGGGCAGGGTGGTGCTTTAGAAGAAAAGAAAGCCCCAGATAAAAAGATAGATGCCATAACTAGCAAAGCCCTCATAAATAATAAAGAAACCGAAGTTATAATTGATACAGGATCGGGACTAAGCGTGATCACAAAACAATATTTAGAGAAGTTGGGAAAAGGGATTGATCAAGAATCCTACTCTCAGCTAGTAGATGTGAATGGAAATAAAACAAGACCATTGGGAATAGCCAAAGAGATATTAGTAACCCTGGATGGGAAAAGACCAATAAAAATGGACATGGTAGTACTAAAGGCAGAAAACTACAACGTAATATTAGGAAATAATTGGCTTAGACAAATAGAAGCCACTATTAACTTTAAAAAGAAAATGCTTGAAGTTAAGGAAAACGGTAAAATAATACAACACCCAATCATATTCGAAAAAGAGCCAAAAGAAGTAATACTTGAAGGAAATGAATTATACGAGGATGAAGTATTACAGGAGGAAGCAGCATATTTTGTGAAAGGTATGGGAGGAGAATGGAAGGAAACACCAGCATTCACCATTAAAGGGGAATCTAACCTAACAACCAAACAAAAACAACAACTGGATAAATTCATAAATGAATACAAGGATAGGTTTGCAGAAGACCTTTTAGAACTAGGACGAATAAAGGAGTATGAACATCACATACCCACTACATGTGAATGGCCTGTTAAAAATAGACCATATAGACATGACAAAGAGAAAAGAAAATTCATACGAGAAGAAATTGAAAGAATGATTAATGCTGGAATTGTTAGGGAATCAAATAGTGCGTGGACATCACCAGTTGTAGTTGTGACAAAGAAGAATGGCAAACTAAGATTATGTGTGGATTATAGGAAGTTGAATGAGAAAACCAAACGAGATGAATACCCACTGCCAATGATAAACGACATATTTGATACAATGGCGGGGGCAAAATGGTTTACCACTTTGGACTGCATGAGCGGATATTGGCAAATGAAAGTTGCCGAAGAAGATCAGGAGAAAACAGCTTTTATCACAGAAGATGGATTATATGAATTTACAGTAATGCCATTCGGACTAACTAATGCACCAGCGGCATTTCAAAGAATGATGGACAGAGTTTTTAAAGATTATAAAGGGAAATTCGTGAATGTATATCTTGATGACATAACAATATACTCAAATACGTTTGAAGAACACTTACAACATCTGAGGAAGGTTTTTGATAAATTAAGAACAGTGGACCTAAAATTAGGAAGAGAAAAATGTGAATTTGCAAAACCAGAATTACATCTACTAGGGCATATTATTGGAAAAGATGGTAAAAAGCCAGACCCGGCAAAGGTTGAAGTAATCAAGAATTGGCCAACACCAAAAACAGTAAAAGACGTTAGATCATTTCTAGGACTAGCATCCTATTACCGGAAGTTTATGCCCGGATTCTCAAAAGAAGCACTACCAATGTTTAAATTAATAAAGAAAGATATACAATTTGAATGGACTAAGGATTGCCAAAAAGCGTTTGAAAAGCTGAAAGAGCTTTTGACAAAAGAACCTATCCTAAGACATCCAGATTTCAACAAACCATTTATACTTTCAACAGATGGATCCAAGCTCGGGCTAGGAGCCATCTTAGCGCAAGAGGATGATGAAGGAAGAATAGGAGTAATTGCCTATGCTAGTAAAACACTAGTAGGGGCACAACGGAATTACTCAGCATCAGAATTAGAATTATTGGCCGTAAAATGGGCCACAGACCAGTTTCATGTATACTTGCTTGGAAAACCTTTTACTATAATAACAGATCACCAACCGCTAAAATATCAATTTAGTACACTTGCTTTAAATAATCGAATGCAGAAATGGCTTGTACACTTACAACAATACTCGTTTAAAATTGAATATAATCCAGGACGTGCCCAAGGTCATGTAGATGCTTTATCAAGATTACAGACCAGCAAGTCTATAAACTGTGTGGCTAATTAAAAGAGTCACTAAAAGGGAAAAACAGGCACTAATGGATATTCAATTATACGAGTCAATAAAGTATTACTTAACAAACCATCGATTACCAAGCAATGTACCAACAGATGTTCAACAAACTACACTAAAGAAAATACATGAATTCACACTTAAAAATGGAAAACTATTTTGGATAAAGAATGATATGGAAAAGAGGGTTATAAGAAGAAATGAGTTAGAAGAAGTATTATTTAACATACATGGGAGTCAACTATCGGGACACTTTAATACAGAAGCAACATTCAATAGGGCCAAGCAAAATTATTATTGGCCAAGAATGTATAGAGAAGTAGAAAATTATGTGAAGAGTTGTGACACATGTCAAAGATTGGGAAATAAGAAGAAGTCAAATGAACTCCACCCAATACCGGTTGGACGAGCATTTGAACGGGTAGGAATAGATATCGTAGGACCATTATCAATAACATCAAAAGGAAATCG